TACTACTGGGAATAATAATAAAATAAATATTTTAAACTTCAGACTGCAAGCAAAAACAAAGGCTTCCTACCCCAATACAATTCTACCATAACAATCTTGTCCTTGGTTCTGAAGATATCTTAATAAAAAATTGAATATGCCTCTGATTTTTAGAATTCAACACATATTTGATTGCAGACAGTACTAGAAAGACTTCAGTAGTAGTCCTGCATTTTAACATTTTATTAATTTAGAAATTCATACTCTGATCATATTCTTTGAAGTTGCCACAAAATTTTCATTCTGCAGTCAGTTTAGGTTAAAGTATGAAAAAAGCCCTGATGGCAGAATCAGGGTTGCCTTTAAGAAAGAGGGTGGTTGAGGTTTTACTTTTCCTCAATTTCCCTTTTATTGTAAATTTTAAGCACAGGTACTTGCAAATTAGCATTCCAAATTTCTTTTTTTCTGATTCATCTCTATATATTTTCTTATGATTTGTGAAGTTATAATTATTCAAACACTTAAATGTGTGCTTAACTTTGTGATTGTTTCAAGTTATATTTTAGATTAAGTGAAGCCATGAGTAGGGCTGATTATAAGCATGTCTAACATTTTCTTGAATTGGGTCCATTTGTCAGTAAAAGAGCAACTGTAGATAACAGCCCTTTCCATATTCTGATTTGAATATTTCATACCTACCCATTCCAGAAAAGTGAATCATTTTTAATAAAGATAATTTCATTTTAAAATAACTAATGCATTAGCATTGTCTTATTCATCAAAGTAGAAAATGTTGTCTAAGGTCCTCTTCCTTATCTTGATCTCACCTGCGTATTGCAGCATAGACAAATATTCTATTTAATGGTGTTTTTTTATGCTACAAGTTCTATATACAGCCTTTTCAGTAAAAAATACCAAAATTTTCAGTTCATAATAGCAACCAGTAGTTTTTATTAACTGTCTTGATAACAGATCTGCTTATATAGATTTGACTACATATATGTGGCTTCAGCAGAATTGTTGCATCTGTTGCAATATTCTTGCTTATATTGTTCTATGCAATTTAGTATCCTTTAGGCTTCTAGATTTTTTTCTTAATTGGCAAGAAAGAAAATTTTATCTGTGATTTAAATTTTCTGTCTATGATCTAATTTTGCACTTTGACATACCATATCCACCACACTAAATTATTTAGCAAAATTGAAAACATACAGGATTTAGCACTCTGTATGGATCATTATAAAATAGGCCTGAAAAAAACTCTATTTGACACAGGTGCCAAAAATGACAGGTAGAAGATGGTGCACAGATTCAACGTAAGCAGAGGGACTTCTTGGTAATGCTATAAATACAAACATGGAGAAAATCTGTAAAGATTACAATGTTTTTATATAGAATTGTATAGTGTTGGTAAGCACCGGGATATAGAAATGTATTCTAAAAAATGCCTGTTTCAAAGGCTCAAGGCTGAAAAAAAGAATATAATGTTTTAAAATACAAGTACCCAGAGTATTACAGGACTTACTACATGACAGAATCATAACCAACTATCTTTAGAAATAACAATCTGTAAGTAGGAGATCACAATGACAAAATATCTTCCCTTAAAACTTTGCATCACCTGCTATGTATTAACACCGCCTTACTCAATGGATTTTATTATCACATTTCTCTACACATTGTTGCCATTTGGATATGAGTAATATCAAGCGCTGCGGAAAAGTCATAGAACCTTCAGCTCTTATCTAAAAAAAACATTCCAACTCGATGAATTTTAAACCATTTTGAAGATGAGACACAGCACTTTAAAGTATCTTTTAAAAGATTCCAAATAATTAAAAACTCTACTTGACTAGTCTTAATAAATTACAGTGATGAGTTTTTAATTCACTGAGAGAAAAACTTGTGAGACCTACAGGAACTGATGTCAGATTCCTGCTTTAAGATTAGGAATGTTCATGTTCAATTATTGTTTGTTACTGAGATACTGAGTACATGTTGGTTTGCTGTCTCTGGCTGCCTGTTCTCATTCAGTGTTTACAGGTACCTTTGTCACATTCAAATGGGTTTTACTTCACCTGACTTTAGTCCTCTAGTCAAAGGTAGGCATCTCTGCTTCCTTTTACTGGAGTTAACAAAGAAAAGAAATGACCTGTAAAAGGCAATTTATGTCACTTTTCCTAGAAAGAGAAGGTTTGGACTGATAAGAACCTGTGCACCACAGAGGTAGGGTATGACTAACTGAGGCTGGATCCTGAGCTTTTGGTAGTTATTGAAAAGAATCCCACTGTAGTAACTGAAAGGTATGAATGTATGTGCAAGAGTGCAATCATGACACAGTCTGATATTCCTGCAAATGAAGATAAAATACCAAAATATTATTTCAATGTACAGTTGATGGCTTCAAAGCCAGTCCAAACTACACATATCAACACTCACTCTTGAAACAGAACAACGCCCACCACTTCGCTTCTTCGGGTAGGCAAATTTTAATCTTTTACTATGAGACTGACAGTTTTGTATCCAGTTGCTATGACAGCAGAAGCCAAAGAACTATGAACCAAAGTTCACTCTCATACCCCAGCCTTCTTCCCCATGTGTGAATTTCACACTGCACAGCTCCAAAAGGTTACCAGCATTTAGCACAGTAGGAAGGACACTTGTCCAGGCTCTCTTTTCATGCCTCACATCTGGGAGTAAGACTCCTGCTATTAATGGACCTCCAGCATGTTGGCTGGTCCAAGAGTATCTTCACAGGCATTCTGGAAAATTTGCAATGTCGCAATAGCTTCTGCCTAGGAAAACAAAAATATAAAAGTAACTATAAATACAGCAATATGGCATGAATCTCTTTGGAAAGCCAAAGAAAGAGGAGATAATTTCAGCTTAATTTCAAATTTTAATGGCTTTCATAAAGGCCTATGATTTTGGGTACACACCCTGTGTTTACAATACTGTTGTTTACAAACAAAAATCTTTTTTACCTCTTAGTCATTGTTTTGCTAGGCAAAACTCTTTATTTTCATAAGATTGACTCTTCATTACCTTTAAACTTCCTGCACCTGCTCTCATTTTTCATAAATGTACTTTTTGAATAAGCTGAGCATGGTATTTCTGATCAGATCTTATGCTTTTTGCTTTTCTGCATATCTCTGCTGGAAATACTTCAGCCAGTATATCCTAGGATCACATTTGCCTTTCCACTGAAAGACCCTGAAACCACAGAAATTCCAGTGACCCCTTAGAATTTCTTCATTTCTCTGGCACTCACCACTATGGTTTAAGGCTCCTTTATGTGAGAAACCTTGAAGCATGAAGTGCTCAAGATGAGAACCTTGTTTGATATGGAACATATGTGCTTAATTTTATATATGGTGTATCATTTCATCAGCTTCATTTAGCTTTGTAGGATCCTGGCCTATCTCCTCAGTCTATAAATAAATAATGACAGATTTATAAATAAATCAGTTTCTAACCAGCTGAAACTGTGTTATCTTTGTATCTTTTACCAATCAATAGAGAAGCCTGAATGACAGGCACAGGTTCTGCAGCTTTAAAAAAACCTAGTATAACAATAAATAAATAGAGTACACGTAAGTACCACATAAATATTTTGATGCACTAGCATAAAATATTTCATATGGTGTTTCAGAATATGCCCAAGCCATTTACATCTATGCTAGGCCAGCAAGTGTTTTTTAGCTGGCAGTTCAATGTTCTCTCAATATAAATAGATAATCAATCATTCTTTGTTGCTATTGTTTTAAAGAATAGTTTGAAACCCAATTCACACTGAGTGTTAGTACGGCCTGTTCTTCTTGTTCTCTTATCAAGACAAGTTTTAATATTAAAAAAATGCATTGTTTTCATCTGGCTGCAGGAGTGTATGTGTTGAGCTCTACTGTAATTTTTCAAGTTCTTGGTTGGTGGGAGGGTGCAGGTGCAAGCCTGCAGAAGAGACTGAAACTCTGTGAAGGCACAAAGTAAAGCACATATCAATCCATTCAGAGAACAAACACACAAATGAAAACACTTAAGTGGAGAAAATCCATTCCCATACTGAGAATAATTGTATTACAGTGCAGTCTGTGTGGATTTGAATTTCATCTGCCTTTCTGTTCTGCTCACTCAGAGGAAACTCATGGAGACCTAAACTCTAGTGCCTCATTTAAAGCCTGATGCAGGACATAAGTATAAGGCAACGTATCTGTTCTTGTTCTTGGGTCAGGAGCCCTAGATTTATAATTTTTCCACAAGATGTGGTAGGAAGAATGCTTAACTTTAATTATGTTGCCACAAACCAGCCTTGTCATGTTCCTGTCACAACGAGGACTCAGTCCGTCCAGGTCTCTTTCCTGGCATCTATAGAGAGGTCACAGGACAGTGCCAGAAGCCAGGCAGTGGATTTCGGTCCGCACCGATGAGCACTCAGTGCGAGGGCTGAAAGCCAAAAGGCCCTCGCTCACCCTGGAGGACTGCATGGAGCAGTGTGATCGTCGAAGCAAAGACGGCTCTCTGCTTTCCCAAGTTTTTGTTTGCAAGGCCCAGGGTGCTGCTCCCGGACTGGGGAGGTGTCGCCTCCTACTTACCAGGGCTCCCCTTCCCCTCTCGCTCAGCGTTGCGGTCCCTGCCCGGGGGAACCGCAGCCGTGCCCGTCGCATCCCGGCCCCTCGCCCTCCTTCCCGGCCCTGTGCGGAGCCCTGGGCTCGGCCCGGCGGCCGCGGCGCCGCCTCGGGCTGGAGCGGCCGATCGGCGCTCGCCCCCCGCTCGCCCACCGGAGCGGACACGCCGGGACGGGCGGGGGGAGAAGTCACCCCGATAAACCGCGCTGCCCTCGGCACCCCTGAGGCCGCCTCCCTCCTCTGGGTACTGCAGAGGGGCGGCGGAGCGCCGCCGGCTCCCGGCCCGGCTCCCGGAGCGCAGGCTGCGGGCAGCGCTCCTGCCGGGCAGCCCGGCGCCCGCTGCGCTCCGGACTCAGCCCGGCAGAGCGCCCGGCAGGCGGGGAGCGGGGCGGGGGAGCGCAGGGGGAGGGCTGCGCGCAGAGGAGCGCCGGTCCTGCGAGATGCTGCACGCCCAGCTCCCCGCCGGAGGGGGGTAGCAGCCGCTGTCTCCGCGGCTCCTGCTCTTTTGCAAGGGCTGTTGCTGCCGCTGGACGCAACCTTCTCCCGACATGGAACTGCTGCCGCCGCCGCCGCCGCCGCTGCTGGAGTGAGTGAGTGTGACGGGCAGAGCTAGCCGGCCGCATGGATGGATGTGTTTAGCTTTGTGAAGATTGGGAAGCTCTCCGGGTAGGTGTTTGCCGCCACCGCCGCTGCTCCGCGAACCGCGGGCATCCCGCGGCTGCGGGCGCTGCCCGTGCCCTGCGGGGGCAGGGAGGGATGGGGCTGCCCGGCCAGGGGAGCGCCCGCGCCGCTCCCAACTTCTCTGGCAGCGGGGCTCGGGGCTCGGTGTCGGGGTGGGGCGGTGGGGCTCGCTGTCCGTGCATCTGCCCGGGCCGATGTCCCTGCGCGGGATGGGTCATCCCCCTCTCCCTCGTGAAGGGACAATGAACTGCGGCCGCAGTTGGGCGAGAGCGGTGCCCTCCTTGAGACGCCGGCCGGAATGGGCGGCCAGAGCGCTTCTGAAAATGCAAGAGCGGCGACAGGAGCCGGCACCGGGCGCGGTGGCGGTGGCGGAGGGGTGTGTTGGTGTGCGGGGGGTGGTGGCGCGGTGCGGGTATCGGTCATCTGCGGGAGCGGGGGGAAGTTCCGAGGAGCCAGCAGCGCCGGGCCGGGCCGCGCCGCCGGGAAGGGTCTCGCCCTGCCCCTCCGCTCCGCTCCCGCGGTACCTCGGGCACACCGGCTCCCCCAGGAGCCGTATTTTTGGAGAAGTGGTGAAATCGTCGCCCCTCGCATCGTTTGTGAGCGCTGCCCCTCCGCCGTTTCACACGGTGATGGGTGCAGGGGCGCGAGTGGATTTGGAGTCTCGTATCCCTTGCTCGTAAGGCTCGTACTTCTCGTTGTTTAAATGTGTCGTTGATTTGTATTATTTTTCTCTATTTCTTTGTTTTCCGAATAAACCTTGTCTCGAATGGCCTCAGAGTTGTGGTCTCAGCCTGTGGACTGTTGTGTTCGCAGCGTTGCCAGGCCTGGAACTGCATAGATAGATCAAGAGGCAAAACATCCCCTGTTACAATGTTCCCACCGTAGTTAAACGTAACTGGACGTAGCCCTTCGCAGTTACACAGGGAATTGTGCTTTATCTCAAAGATGCAGTATGAAAGTACTTGAATCACGTTTCTTTTTCAGGGTTCTGGTGTGGATAATCTTCCTAAAGGCTTTAGCTTTGATCACTGTAACTAGGAGTGTTTCAAATTCTTATGATTCACTGGTTCCTACTCCATAGTTACCATATCCTTTTCTGTTTATGAGGCATGCATGAGGCAGAAATTGGATGGTGTACAAAAGGGAGAAAGGCCTTGGTAAGGAAATAAAAAAAGTGGCTGCTCCAGTGACGGTCAGGTAGGGAGCTTGTCAAAATGACAGATGGTCTGTAAAGAACAAATACTGCATGGCCAGAAGTTACAGAGTGCCACAGGTGCAGCCACTGCCTTTATCCCCCAAAATTCCCACCATTGCACCTGGCTGTGATTACAACTCTGCTTGTGGCATGCCAGCACAGAACAGCTGCTGTCATTCAAGCACATCATTGTCTCATCCTGCTCACAGCAATTTTACACCATGTGACAATGACAATACAAGCAGCCCCCTCGGCTTGCCTTGAGTGGTGTTACTGGCTGATACCGCTAGAGCTGCAGCAGCAGGAACTACAGCGGGAACTTTGAGGAGGTGGAAAATATGCTCACATAGATAAGGAATAGGTCATGTAGTATGATATTTATTTCCAGGTAACTGATTTGTGTGACCTTCTCAATTTTTTTTTTTTTTTTTTTTTTTTTTTTTTTTTTTTATTTTTTTTTTTTTTTTTTTTTTTTTTTTGGAAAGGATATTTTAGAAAAGCTCTCAGGTCTTCACGTCACACTTGGTCTAGAATGAAAGGCAGAGAAAGGGATGTGTCATTCAAAAATTTTATTATGTCAGGTGCATGGCAATTTTTAGATATGTATATTGAAAGCTTGGGTCTTTCTTGGTGTGTACAAAATTTGTAGCTTTCTGCATACTTGAAGTCAGAGCTAATATTTGTATTTAAGTAAAGATAGGTCACAGAAATACTTCAGAAGAACCTGAAGGTTCCTTGTGAAATGAAATTGCGAATTTCAAAGCTTGCATCTGCCGCTGCTTCATTTAAGGATGTGAAATACTTACAGCCTGTGTTTATCTTGTAGATTGCAGTAAATGATTTCTGTTCTGAGCTGCACTTTTTATTTCTAATTTTCTGGTTGTTAAAAGACATAATAGTTTACAGGACTTGACTTTACTTGCTGTTACCTAGGTTACAGCCAGGTATCTATTCCAGTTTTATGAGAGCTTCATGAAGAAAACAGGTTCCAGTGTAAACCCCATTTTTAGTTCTTTTGTGCATTTGGGTTGGAAAACTAGTTTGCCCAAAAATACCAGTTGTTTGCTGTTAGAAGGAAGGCCTTTCTGAAGAAAATATTTAACTGTGAATGTGATCTTACAGGCATATTACCTACAGAAAGTTGTTTTGAACATGGCTGGTTGCTGAACTTCTTTTTAATTTTATTTTGTTGTGCATTCAGATCTCCTCATTTTAAGTTGCAAGTCTTTTACTACAGTTTTAGTCTGCAGCCTTGATTTTGCAGGCAGTGGCACACCTAAACTCTGTTATACATGATTACTGGAAGGGATGCTTCCTGAAGTCATGATATGATTTTAATATATCTGGTAAGAATTTAAATTTTTTCTCAATCAACCATCAGATGAGTTTTTAAAATCTGGAATAAATTTAAGATGGGATTTAAAGTCCTAGAAGGTGGCTACTGGATATAAAATTCTACATAGCATACATAATTTTTTATGTTTTAATTGTCTATTTGGGTTTTTTATGTGATACCTTTGTGTTTAGGGTCTTTTAGAGACTCTGCTTCTACAATGGCTTCAACAATTGTCCATACTTTCTGGGTAAATGGAAAATATGGGCATAATCTGGAAAAGGATTATGTGCAGAAATGAGAGAGAATGTCAAACTGGTTTTATGACAAATATGATCTCTGGTAATCTTGTCCTTTCCTTGACTTTGTAGGTATTTTACATTTTGTACTATGCATAAACATATATATGCTTTGTAATTAGGTTTCTGTTGAAAGTTTGGAGATACCCATCAGACACTGAAACCAAAAATACCACGCAAAAATAGTAGTCACACTTTCCCTGACATATCCTCTCCCCCATCCCGTTTTGGAAATTCACCGATCTGGTAATGGTCTGGAGTAAATGTTTTGGTGTAAATCTTACAGTGTCATTCTCTGCAGGAAAAACCCACAAACAACCAACTACCTTTTATTGTGATCGATTTCCAAGTGCAGAGAATGATTGACAAGTCTTGTTCAATGTATCAGTGCTTTGAAGTGGAGCTGTACAAGGCAGATGAACATTTCTGTAGTGTGGGCAGCATAAGCATGTGTGGCGTGGCAGCATCTGTAATTTGGGACAGAGGATTAGTGCCACTGGTGAGATGAATAGCTGAGAGTTGAGGCTGGTTCAGAAGTCTGTCTTGCCTGGTATTCTCTCTCAGCTGCTTTTAGCAGCTGCTTGGAGAAACAGTAGGAGTGGTGATTCTTAAGCATAGGTATAGGCAGTGGAGGAAGGATGGTGCTGCTGTTCTGAACATGAAACTGTTTTCAGATCAAGGTAAATCTGAGAAAAGGGCACAGTGTCAAGTTGCTAGTTAGTACTGGACAGATGAACTGTGAAACAATAGGTCAAAATAGTGAATGGAAGTTATAAAGAATTTAAGCCTGTATTCATGGAATATATTTTTAGTTGGAATTTTTTTAAATTGGGAATGACTGTTTTTGTGATGTCTGTTGAGGTCAGTTCTATTTCAGAGCTTTCACAGCAGGAAGTATAACTTGGATATGGAAAGAGATCTGAAAGTCTGGATATCACCTGAATGTGACTGAGTGAGGCAGCGACCCTCCAGAGCTGGGATACAAAGCTCCTGTGTTTGTAGCTCTGCCAGATAACACTAGGGAGAAAATGACATGACTGTCTGCATGAGTGGCCATCAGATCCTAAGCTGTGGCAATACTGCTGAGGGTAGGGTGGGCATCTCTGTCATAGTTACATCTGTGGGAGAAGTTCTGAGCTCATAGAGTAATTTGTCACCAGAAAGAAAATCTCCAAGCAGGCCTGCAGTATGGGGTAAGAAAGTAGAAATCTAGATCTCATTCTAGCTGTTAAAAGTATAACTGATGGAGAGTTAAGCCCATGTAACGAACAGGAGGATACCAGGAAGGTTTGGACCTGCCCTTAACAACCATGCCAGTTTGTCATATGGGCTAGGTAAATTTGTCTTACCTGGATCTTTACTTTTCTGCCCAAGTTTAGCATTGCCAACCATTATCCTTGAGTTTAAATATATTCCATTAAAATGGGACTTGAATAGCCATGTCCTTGTTAGCCAGGCCCCTGGAACTGCCTTTAAAACAATGACAAAGAAAAAATACCTTAATCCTGCAAGCTCTTCTCTTCACAGAACAGTTAAATATGTTTTCATGTTTTTGCTGTGATTATGCTAAACCTGAGGCTGGGTTTCTAACTGAGAAAGAAGTTCTTACCAAGTCCTTTTTTATTGGAGTGGATAAATCTCAGTCTTTTGTGTTTATCTTTCCATAGCTGGCCATCTCTAGTCAGGTAGACTGACTTAGTACCTGCATAGATGTTTGAACTTTTGGGGTCTTGCTGCTAATAAAAGTGAAAGAAGATTAAACTGATATGGAACCTTGCATTTGTTCTCTCCCTTTCCAGCCTTTGCAGCCTTGTGCTCAGTTTTGTTCTCTCCAGAGACTGTCTTTAGATGTCCTGCCAGACTGGTGTGAAAGGTTCTCTCCTAGATCTGCCTTAAAATGTAACAGACTAGAAGCTGTACCTGTATCTTCTGAGTACTAATCTTTGTTGTGTTTTTGTTTATTTGTTTTGGTTTTAGTTTATTTGTTTTGCTTTT